CTTTCTTTCTTTCTTTCTTTCTTTCTTTCTTTCTTTCTTTCTTTCTTTCATCTCACTTCTCAGTCTTGAACTCACCAAACCTGATAAGCTTTACCTGAAGATGTACATATGTTATGCTTTTCTGGCTACAACTCACTTTTAGCATTGTTGTTGTAGTTACTAGAATGATGTAATTTCGGGTGTTTGATTCTACCCATTTTAGAGTACGAGGAATTTCATCAATAAATTGAGGTCATTATCTCATAGTCCTTAGTTTTCACTATGTGCTGGAAGGAAAACTCTTCAATGAGTTTTAAGGTGAGTAAGCCGACCATGAACCAAATTACTGGATGTTGGGGCTGAGGCAAGGCAGTGGGGTCCCAAATAATTTAGAATCCGGTTCTCTCCTTTCTCCTATCACTGTGTGGAGGTTTTATGGAATTCTGCCTCATAATATAGATGCTTCTTTAGTCTTGAAATGTGTAAAACAGTAAAGGGTGTGGCTGTGCTCTAATGCAATGCTTTTCATTCTTCAAAGCGCATGTGAATCACCTGGGGGTGATGTTAAAATGAAGGTTCTGATTCTATAGTTCCAGAGTGGGACTTGATATTCTGTGTGTCTAACAAGCTTCTAGGTGATGCTGACATTGCTAGATTGAGGACCACAGTTTGAGTACCAAGGACTTGGAGAATGGGAATACATTAGAGGTCCAGTGAAATCTAATTATGCCTAGAGATTACTGGTAAAACTGCTTTTACCATGAATTGTGTGTATTTCCTAGGTTCCCCTCTTGATTGTGAAGTCAGTATCCAAATAAGATGTCTACATTGAATAAGTACTGGGATTATGTGGAATAGCCAAAAGAAAGCAGTAGATCCTAGTGCCCCTTCCCCTGGTTATGGGAAAGAGGGCATTGAATAGACTGATCAGCACTTGTCCTGCCTAGCTTACCTGAGGCCCATCCTGACTGACACTTGGCTTTGCTTCTAAACTGACTGTTAGATCCCTTCCTTGTCCTTGATGATGTTAGGTTAGCAGAAACAAACCCTGGGTGCACTGCCAATCTCACCGTGGACCAGGCAATACTGAGTGACAAAGGTCTGGGGAAGAAGGTACCACATTTCTGAGACTCCCAAGAAAGGATTACCCCACTGCACAGAGAGAAGTTGCCCTAGTTCAGGGCCAGTCTAACTGCCTGTTTCAGTAGTTTCTTTAGACAGGACTAGCTGTAAGTCTGGCCATATCCCCCATCCCTTTTACTCACCGAGAACCCAAGGCAATATCATCCATTCCACAACAGTTGGGGGAGGCCCCTGTACATGGAGGTCTGTTCTGACAATGTGCTGAGAAGCCAGGAGAAGCATGAAGAGAAAGGTCAGATATGATGCTGTGTGGCAGATAAACTTGATAAAGGGTTTCTTGATGAACAGACCAAGGTTGCTCCTGGGTGAAATCAGATAAGCTATAGACAGCATAGGAAACAGGAACCCAATGGTCATGCAGGTCAGAAGCTTGACAATCCAGTGTTTCCGCCGCCATCCAGGAAAACCGTCATACCACAGAGTGGCAAGTAACTGTTGGCAATTGGGCTGAGCAACGAACTGGGAAAAGAATAGAACAAGTTAGGCATCTGAGATTACCAAAAGGAAGTCTACCTTTATAATACCTTTCCTAGTTTACAGCCAGCTGCATGGCCAAACCCCAAGAGAGGTCTGATTTCTGGGTTCCCACGAATGAGTCTAACCCCAGAGACAGCTCTACATGTCAAGCTATGAGACTAGATCTTCCTTAGGATTATTTATCTCATATTAAATAAAATCACTCTGGTTTGTGCTTTGGAATGCCTCCCTATTTCCCCTTCCATCATGTTAGAGAAATGGTTCCCAGAACCTGGTTCTACATCAGAATCATCCAGGGAACATTAAAAAATCCAGATTCCCAGGTGGTACCACAGGCTGAATAAATGAGCCTCTCTGGAGGGGTAGAGCCTGGGAAGCTGTTTTACAAAGTTCTACTGGGGATTTACATGCCTCTTAGCAGAGAATCAGGGGACTATTTCATTTCAAATTGATTCACATTTACTCATTCTCCTTGCCTACATGAAGTCATCAACAAACGTGCACTTTGGGCAAACACAAACCGGCAGGGAATCAGCTCATGCCTGTGGCTATGGTTTGGAATGAAAAATGTGTTTCCATTTTGATTTTGTCTCTTTTCCTTTTTGGTTTTGAGCACCTCTTGGTTGGCTAGCAATGAATCAGGTTGCTCCTTTGCCATCTATTTAATACCCTCTCTAGTGTATACATACAAAGGAGAAAAATATATTTGAGGGCCAATATTACAACATTGTATACTAACTCAGCTGGGATTTTACTTAAAAGCAAACTACAAAGTGTCAGTGATTACTAGTTAAAGAATCATCAACATTGTGAATTACCCTCCAGCTGCTCTTCTCTGTTAAGCAATTAGGAGCTCGACTGTCAGCTATAATTTTAAATACTGCTAATATTTAATTACTCTAGCTTCCATGGAAAAAGTTAAAGAGGTCTGCACAATATATCTTACTAGCTCAACCTTAATGTTAATACATCTATGAAGGTACTAGCTTCTCCACCCAAACCATTTTTCTCTTCCTTGAGCACATGAGATGAAGTTGGACTACATCTTCCAGTCTCTCTTGCAGTGAGGTGTGGCCACATGACTAAGTTCTTGATAAAGAAATGTTCAGAGAAATGACGAGTGGTACTTCTAAGCCTGGCCTCTAGTGATCTCCCATGTGTGCTCCTCCATATTCTTTCTCTCTTCTGGCTGACCGGGATGTGGTAACCCAGGATGACCTAGAGACACCTGTCAGCCTGTGTCCCTCAATGACAATGTAGAAGAGAACTATCCTGCTCACCAAGAATACTTGTCTTAGAATGTTACATGATAAAAAAAAAAAATGAATGAAAGAATGTTATATGACTGTGTTCGGGCCATAATATATTTGGGAGTCTAGCCTACCCTAAAGCAGTTTACTATTATAAAACTACTAAAACTAAGCTCTAAAATCTTTTTATTATGTGATCTCAATTTCTCCAAAGATGTTCATAACACCCATTATGTCCTCACATCTCTTTTTCACATATTCACACACAAAAAGACAAAATCCTATAATCTCTTTCTACTCTTCTTGGCATTATAGCCTATGCCAAAAACTGGTATGCGAAGTCCTAGAAAAACATACATAAAAGTATATAAGGGTAAAGCAAGATATTTGGATGCAATGAGGGAAAAGCACTTGGAGCACAGTCTAGCGAGAGAGACAGATACATAAAAAAACAGTTATAAAACAGAGAATCATGGTGGAGTGAGATGTCCACAGATTTTTCCCCTTGAAACAACAATAAGCTGAACATCTAAAACACAACAAAAAACATCCAAACTGCACACCAGCACGTCTGAGCATGGGATGCGCTCATAAGAGCTACCACAGGTCAGAACACTGGTTGTTAGGCAGTGTGCTCGGAGAAATAAAGAAGCTGCCTCTCATAGCCACCAGAGCTCCCTGTAGGAGGAGGAGGGGAGAAGGGGTGGCGAATTTCCTGAACAGCTCTGCCTGGGAGTGCTGTGAGTTTCATGTGTCTGGCGGCAGGGCATAATCATTAGGGCAGAAGGCAGAGAAGTGGGACAGCAGAGAAACAACAGTTGATTTTTACCAGCCGTGGTTGCAAATCCGAGGCTGAGCCGCAGCCCCCAATCCACAACTGAGAGGGCCCCTCCCCCCATATACTACGAGATCAAACACAGCGAAGACTAGGAGAATCTGGCCAAACACTACTGAAACAGTACTTAACACTGACGGGGATTGAGACTGAGAGTAGTGAGGGCGATTAAACATCTGAAAGGAAAAAAAGACATTATTAAGACTTTATACAAAGCAGGGGCCCAAGAGGCTTAGACTCTGCCTACTGGAAACCAAAAGAAAAGCGCCTTCTTTGCAAGAGGCTAAAGAGAGACCTTTATATAATAAATCTGCCTTCTGGAAAAACAGCAGAATACACTTCCATTAATGCCCAGCTGGAGAAAGAGTCCATTAAACACCATGAACAACCAGGTTGACAAGGCATCTCAGAAAAAAAAAAGAAAAATCTCCAGAAAATGAGGTTACGGACAGAAATATGCGACTTAAATGATAGAGAATTCAGGATGGTACTTCTGAAAAAACTCAGTGAGTTCTGAAATGAGTCATATTGACAATTTCAGGAATTGAAAAAACAACTAGAGGAGTAGAGCAAGGAGAGTGAAACCCTCAAAAAGAACCAAATAGAACTTCTGGAGATAAAGAACACACTCTAAGAGTTGCA